GCAAACTCGTATTTATTTCTGTCCCTATTAAATTCAGCAATCACGTTATGAATGCAACTGTACCTGCTTCCTGTTCCTTTGATGAGCTCTTGCTGTCTCTACTAGCTAATATTGGTTTTCCAAATCGTTCATTGAATTGTTTCTCTGTACCCAGAAAGCCAGGCATCAAGAAGTCGAACAAAGACCATAGTTCAAGCACATTGTTCTATAAACAAGGCAAACCAAGTAAGTCAGTCGTTCATACATTACATTTCGAATCGTCGAGTTAATAACACTAACCTGAATAGGTGTACCAGACAATATTAAGCGATGGTTAGCCTTAACAGCCTTAACAGCCTTTGTTATTTTGGTCTTGCCATTCTTTATAATGTGGCCTTCGTCAAGAATACAATAATTCCAATTGATATCTGCTAGTTCATCAATATCATTGCGAACGATGTCGTAAGACATAATAACCACATCATGATTCATAATTTTGGGGCGAATTCTAATTAATAGAATAAGATTGTAAATAAGGTACAGAGTACCCTGCTCAAGTTCATCGATAAAAGATAAACTCTACCGTTCTCTTTCTTTAGGCCCTCCTGTGTATAGTAGAGGTTTCAAACAGTCTGTGTAATTTAACAGTTCGTGATACCAATGTCCCGTAAGAGTTGGCGGACATACAACGAGTGACGGAATCGGAGAACAATCCGGTGATTTAGTGGTTTCGTATTTCACCGCTCGTGCATGGTGATCACTAGCCAATATGCAGATTGATTGTAACGTCTTTCCAAGACCCATATCTGTGAGGACAATATGTTGGACAAATGCCGTCAATAACATACATTCACTTTATGCGGTTCGGGGAGCGGAATAGCTCCACAGAACAGCCACTCTTCAAATAAGCTCCCACAAATTTATGTGCACAGTACCCACCATCACACAGAATACCATGCAACTGATATTTGTTCAAGAAGGCTAACCAATTAACACCTTCTTGTTGATATTTTCTCAACTCGGCCTTTATGGTAACGGGTATCTCGTAAGGATCAAGTCTACTGCTATCCAGCAATTGACTGAGAAATTTACGCTCTTCATAACGATGCTGAGTAAGCCTTTCCGACAATCCTGGTGGGTTGGGTATGCCAGCCTACGAAATTACTATTAGTATCTCAAGTCGTCAAATATCGTGCACCGCGCGACAACTATACCAACCTCCAATGGCACTAGTTTGATTAACATGGCAAAGCAGTTGGTAGTAACTAATCGTACACTTTCGTCTACATCACTCATGCGTCCCAAGATAGGAACAACCAAAAAAATGACATATGGTAATATTTTTGCATCCATCGTTTGAACGAGATCTATAAACGGGATCGTCACGTTAAGGAAATACATGACATTAAGAAGCTCAGAACGTAAAGTTCAGAACGTAAAGTTATATCATACGATATCATTATATGTCAAAGGATACGATAAATTAATTCGGCCGCCCCTTGACGGTTGATAACGCTCTGTGAATCACCCATGAATGGTAGGACTTGTTCGATGATAATCTGCATGCTGGGAATAGTAATTACATTTGCTATAGTGGCGAAACATCGCGCTGCCACGTGTCGAATTACTGAGTATTTACATTGAATAGTTTTGACGAGGCAGGGCAGCAGTTCTGCGATCTAAATGTAATCGTTTTGATAAGAAAAATAGAATACAATAATGCTGAAAGAACATTTGATTTCCCATACCTTTGAATGTAGCGATTCGTGAATGACGGGCGTAATGGATTGAAGAATTTGAAGAGAATCAATGACTTCTTGGCCAGTGTTTTCACTTGCTTTCAACGCAACATCTATTTTTTCTTGTTCGTCTATGCGAAAAAATAGAATAAGCGAAATAACAAAACAACATATTCTCAACAATCAAGTTAAAAGAAGCTCACCATATCCAAATACATTATCCAATGCCAAATGCATACAGCTCCATAGTTTTGGCACAACGTCAAACAATCTCGCACCGAACAGATGAGCAAATTGTTTAAGTGCAGTTTCTGCTCCTCTCCTAATCAACTTTTGGGTCTTAATCTCTTCTTCGTTAATCTTTTGTTTTTTCGCACTCTCCCCTCCAGCGCCGTTGGATATCTTCTTTTCAGGTTCTTTTGCTTTTTGTAATGATAAAATTCCTTCCTCACTCTTATTAGACTGCAATACTGGTGTCGTAGTCTGGTCGGAACATAAAAAAGTACAGAGATTCTTGACAATTTTATCATTCGGATTTATTCGAGACGGGTTCTGTTCAATTGCACATTGGGCAACTAAACTTGCCAGACTCGCAGCGGAACGCTCCTGCAGTTCAGCATTCTCCTCGTTCTTGATAGAACTCATGATTGATCTTATTATAGGATTAAGCTTGGGAGGAAGCACACGCAATGATACTACGGCGCCTGCACAAGCTGCATTTACATTTATATCCGTCTTTTGTTTAGTGGACTGATAATATGCTATCGAAGACAATACTCGACGCTTCCGATCCTGCAATTGCGGTAAAACAGCAGAATGAATAGCAGGAGGAACATAACTTGTTAGGGTGTCGAAAGTCTCCGTGGTGAGCTGCTTGGCCATTTCAATACTAAAAACCGAAGCGTCTGCGATAGTCTGCTCGCCGAGCACGCTCGTTGGAAGCGGGGGTATATTCTGGCTGCTAACCCTGCCTTCGCTTATGAACGTGTTTAGTAGTGCTTGGCATTCGCCTCGAATACGTCGGAGAATGCTTACAAGTTCATGGTAGAAGCTGGGAGGATCAGATTCAAGCATTACGACTAGCGCATTGGAAAGGATCGAGGCAAGAGGTGTCACAGGGAGAGGAGGCATAGAAAGCGAGGATATCTGTTGATTATTAGAGGCGCGCGCCCATTCTTCAATTATTACAGCACTGAGTTGTTTGTTTGAAGCCCAACCCGATGCGAGGTGAGGAAGAAGAAAATCTTTGAAACTGTCTTCGAGAGCCTGTAAAATTGCAACAGAACCATTATTCGACATCATTGCCACTCTTGATATTGCTGTCGAGTATACTCAATACAATTGTCGTAATTTGTATCAATAATCTTGCTCAAAAGTACACATACCTCGTTCGGCCACCGACTAATTAACATTCCGAGTGCCTTTGACGCTGCAATACGACCTCTAATAACAGTCTCTACAGACACTAGAGCAAAGTCTTGCTGCAACATCCCGATATCAATATTATGCGCCAAAGTCGAATCACTTTCATTTGGCTGCCCTGCGTGTGTTCGGCGTCCTCGCCTAGACGACGCTGTCGATGCTACGTCGACTTTATCAGTAAGAGACTGACCATCTGCAATAAATAACAATCGCCTATCAATCGGAGTACCAAGTGGTGTCATTACGATAGAAAACCACGAATGAATGTGTGGCGCGGTTAAGTGTGTGATTCTTGCTGGATTAAAAGATGCATGAGATAATAAAGACGACCAAAGTTTGATGGAAAGTCCGAGAATGTGCTGCAAAAAAAAAAAAAATGTTGGTAAATTTTCGAATTGTTGATGAGATTGTTG